TTCTCTGGTGGTACAATGGCTAAGGCTCTGCGACCCAGGGCATGGGGCCTGGGCTCGATTCCTGGTCAGGGAACTAGATCCCACATACTGCAACTAAAAAAATTCTGCACCCCACAGCTAAGACTTGGTGCAGCCAAATAGATAAATAGATAATTAAGAAAAATAAAGCAACACTCAATTTATCCCTCTAAGGTGGCATTTGCAGATCTATACTGGACATTTCAAAACAATTAACACTGAAGTTGACACTGGCCATTGTGACTCCATTTTGAACTACCTAACAAAGCTTAAATCCTACGAGTTTCACACAAGGTGAGTAGGAATCATAGCACAAAAGAATTCACACCACATCTTGGGGCCTTGGGGAGGTGATTAGTTCAGGAAGGTAAAGCCCTCACGAAGGGGAATGGTGTCTCACAAGAGAGACCTCAGAGAGCTCCCCTTCCCCTTCTGTCCTGTGAGGACACAGAGAGAAGGCAGGCAGGCTGGCTGGCTGAGAACCAGGAAGCAGGCTCTCACCAGACACCTAATCTGCTGGTGTCTTGATCTTAGACTTCCAGGTTCCAGAACTGTGAAGAATGCGCATGCATACTTAGTTGCTTCAGTCGTGTCCGACTCTTTGCGACCCCATGGACTGTAGCCCACCAGGCTCCTCTGTCCATGGGATTCTCCAGGCAAGAATCCTGGAGTGGGTTGCTGTTTTCTCCTCCAGGGGATCTTCCCGACCCAGGGACTGAACTCACATCTCCAGCAGGTGGAATTTTTTTTTTTAACTATTGAGAAGACAATAACTTCCTGTTATTTATAAGGCACCCAGTCTGTGGTGGGCTTCCCTGATAGCTCAGTTGGTGAAGAATCTGCCTGCAATGCAGGAGACCCCAGTTCATTCCTAGGTCGGGAAGATTCGCTGGAGCAGGAATACGCTACCCCCTCCAGTATTCCTGGGCTTCCCTGGTGGCTCAGCTGGGAAAGAATCTGCCTGCAATGTGGAAGACTTGGGTTCGATCCCTGGGTTGGGAAGATCCCCTAGAGAAGGGAAAGGCTACGCACTCCAGTATTCTGGCTTGGAGGATTCCATGGTCCGTATAGCCCATGGGGTCGCAAAGAGTTGGACACGACTGAGCGACTTTTTTCACTCTCAGTCTGCGGCAGTCTGTTATAGCAGACTGAACGAACACATCCTGAGCAAGAATAAATGCTGCCTCAAGACTGCAACACCAACATCTGCCCAAGAGAAACCTCCCTGGTGGTCCAGCGGTTGAGAATCTACCTGCCGGTGCAGATGCCATGGGTTCGATCCCTGGTCTGGGAGGCTCCCACATGACTCAGAACAACTAAGCCTGTGGATGACAACTACTAAAGCCTGCATGCCCTTTAAAGCCTGTGCTCCACAACCAGAGAAACCGCTGTGAAAAGAAGCCCGTGCATCACAGCTCAAGAGTAGACCCTGCTCGCTGCAACTAGAGAAAGCCCTTGGGCAGAAACAAAGATTTAATGCAGTCAAAAATAAAATAAACTCATTAAAATTAAAAAAACAAAACAAAAAACTTCTGTTAAAGAGTTTCCAGTCTGCCAGCTTCCCCTACAAATTTCAGATTTTATAGCTACCACCATCATGTGAGCCAATCCCTCAATTCCTTGAAACCCGTTCTCTCCGTCCCCACCCTCTCTCTGCCAGTTGTGTATATACATATGTAAAGCTTCCTACTGGTTATGCTTCTCTGGAGAACCCTGACAAATCAGGCAGTAAGGGGGCAGGTAAGAAGACTGGACCACAGATGGCCTTGTTGGTCATAGAAAGGACTTCAGATTTATGTTTCAGATGAGAAGCTAATGAAAGATATACAGCTGAAGCATGACAGGATCTCATATTTTAAAGAATCATCTGGCTACTGTGTTGGGACTAGCAGAAAGGGGAACAAGAGGTGATGGTGACTTGGGTTAGGGGGCAGCAGTGGTGGGGGGTGGTGCTTCCCCGGAGACTCAGTGGTAAAGAGTCCGCCTGCAATGCAGGAGACTTGGGTTTGATTCCCTGGGTCAGGAAGGTCTCCTGGAGGAGGAAATGGCAACTCATGTCAGTATTCTTGCCTGGAAAATCCCATAAGGTATCAAAGAGTCAGACACGACTGAACACGTACGCAAATTAGCAGCGGGGATGCTAAGAGGTGACAGAATTCTGGATGTGTTTTCAAGGTAGAGCAAATAATAGTTCTTTTTTAATGGATGTCAAGGATGATGCAAATCTTTTTGGCCCGAGTAACTGGATTAACGAGTAATGGGGTTTGGAGCAGGTTTGGGGTCATGTGAAAAGTTCACTGTAATGCTACCTTGAAACGCTTATTGGCCATACAGGCAGAGATATCAAGAAGGTATTTGGATGTCTTTTTGGTGTTCAGAGGGAAGATTCAGGCTGGAAATATACATGTGGGAATGGTGATTGATATTGAATGTGAGTTCTGGGGATAAGAATTTGAGAGAGATAAAAGTGAGGGAAAGAAAGGAGGCAGAAATAGCACCAGGTTTTGGGCTTGGACACTTGTTAAAAGTGTCATTCTTTGTTAGGGAACACAGACTGTTGAGAGGAGGCTAGGTTCTGCATGTGTTGAATTTTAAAGATCTGTTTAACTGGAACTGGAGATAATCTAGGAAACTATGTTATCTAAGTCAATCCTTTTATAGATGAAGAAACCAAGGTTCCAGAATAGCTAGCTTGAATTAGAAGGACCAAGTGCTCTTTTTGCAATAGTAGAGTGCCTGTAATTACAGGGACGCGTACATCTCTCCAATTCTGAAGTTGACCTAGTCATCCCTAGAAAAAAAAAAAAAAAAAAAAAAAAACCCACCAAAAACGAAGAAAGAAAAAGAAAAAAAAATTTGGTCAAATTGGCTCTCAGATCACGTAGAAATTCCTATCTATTTGGGAGAAGGATTTGATTCCAATGTAGACTGGGCTTTTCAGGCAAAGCTAGTGGTAAAGAATCTGCCTGCCAATGAAGAACATGGAAGAGATGTGGATTTGATCCCTGGGTTGGGAAGATCCCCTGGAGGAGGGCATGGCAACCCACTCCAGTGTTCTTGCCTAGAAAATTCCACAGACAGAGGAGCCCGGAAGGCTACTGTTCATGGGGTTGTACAATGTCAGACATGACTTAGCAAGCATGCACATGCAAATCTATCACCCAGTCTGACAGAGGAAGCTCTTAATTGCTCCCCTTCCCTGAGTAAGATACTTATTAGCCATTTGCTCATCAGCCAAATTGATGTTGAGGAGGTCCTGAGGGTCAATCTCAATCCTTTTCTTTGGCCTGATTCCCTACTATTTCCAGACCTCATTTTCATTAAGAAGTGTAGATTTCTGGCAAGTGAGAATGGTAGTACGGGGTGGGGGCAAGGCTTTGGGGGGAAATGAAAAAGAGTGCTTATGAAGTAAGCATGGGAATATTCTCAAAGGGAATAGGAGAGAGGCTGGTGAGTCCCAGCTGTCCCATGGCAGGGCCCAGCATGCCAGCAAGAGCTCAGAGAAAGGTGTGCAGGGAGGACAGTTCCGTGGCACAGTCAGGATTTCTGCACTCTGCAAAGGAGAGAGCTGTCAGTCATCAAGGTCCTAGTTACAAGCACAGGGTACCATGACAGTTGACAATTAGGAGTCTTTCCCTTTCATCTCAAAACAAAGTAAGCCTTTTGGATTTTGGCATGACCCTTACAAGTAGCCTGGTTGATGGCCGAAACAGATTTTCCCATTAAACTGTTGAGTAGATTCAGAGTTAGGGCTGATGCTTTTTAGTAGCTTCAGTCATATCCGTCTGTGATCCCATGGACTGTTGCCCATCAGACTCCTCTGTCTGTGGGATTTCTCAGGCAAGAATACTGGAGTGGGTTACAATTAGTTAGTGGAGAAGGAAATGGCAACCCACTCCAACTTTCCTTCTCCAGGGGATCTTCCTGACCCAGGGATCGAACCTGCATCTCTTACATCTCCTGCATTGGCAGGTGGGTTCCTTACCACCAAGCCACCAGGGAGGCCATCAGAGTTAGGACTAACTTCATTCAAATAACAGAGAAAAGTCTTCAGACTTAGAGTCACAGCAGGAATTGCCTGATGTTGGTGAACCGAAGCAAGCTTTTAAAATAAAATTACGCAGGGAACAACATTCAGAACCCCTGCTGCATTCCTTCACCTTCCAGCCTCTGAGGTTCTTCTGGGAACCTCCTCACTACTGCCTATGACACAGGATTGTTGGGAGATTAAATGGCAAAGTGTGCCTAGGATGTGGCTAGCATTCAATAAAAGGGACTGATTACCATTCTGTCAGCATAATATCCAAGAAGTACCCTGCAGAAGAGACAAGTAGTATTTATTTCTCACAATGGTCAATGCCAAAATTCATCCAAGGGTTTTGTGTTAAAAGCCAAAGCATGTTTATTATGAAAGTGGAAACTTAGTACATTTTGGGCCTCAGTTCTTTTACTGAAATTTCAGTAAAGGCTTTCTCCTAGTCTGCTGAAAATTGCTGCTTGGCAACCTGGAACAAGTAATCAAAAGAATAAACAATCAATTTCAAAATGAGTTAGATGAGTATAACAGACTCTCCACCTTCTAGTGTCTTTCTCTGTTAACATGATAGGATCTCATTCAAATATAATGATGTTTTTGGAAAGCAAGTATTTTTGATTCAGATATGTATTTACATCAATTAAACATAGAATATAGTTTGACAGTAATTGTGTTTTGATTCTCTGTATTCAAAGAAGTTGGATGATGAGAAAGAGGGAGAAATTTATTGTAGAAATGATACCTCAGTTGAAATTTCCTTATATGTTATAGAACCTATAGTATGTGTGTGTTAGTGGAGAAGGAAATGGCAACCCACTCCAACTTTCCTTAAACAAATTCCCAGATACTAAGAGGAAAAAAATAAATAAAAGACTGTGATTACATAATCCATTTTCCTTTCATTTGATGGTTAAGCTGTGTTCTGCTCAAAATAAAAAGACAGAAAGACCAAAGGCTGAGTTCATTTATTATTGCTGCCACTTATGGATACATTTTCCCAATTCTTTGTCTCAAATCCCAATGATGCTTTTATATTTGCAACACACATTTATCTCCATTTTCCCTGCACTGAAATGTCTGACATGGGAATATGAGGTATTTCTTAGAAAACAGAGTAGTAAGGTGTAGGATAAAATGTTTCGGCAGTATTTCTTACATCACATGAAATTCATTTGAAATGCCACTAGATACAGTTCTTCATTACATTTAGCAAGCTTGAAATTTCTGTTTCTTATGTAGAATAGAAAAGGGAATGTGAATTATATAAAAGTTGAATGTATTTAAAAATAAAAATATACATTAAATATTCACATTACGTACCTTGCAAAGCCTTCAATGAGTCACAAATCTTAGAAATTATTATACAATTGTATCTCTTTTTCTCCAATTCCCCACAAAATCAGTTCCTAATATATTTCTGTGTATTACATGAAATTAGGACCTGCCAGAGCCTCAAAAGGTGATATGAAGAAAAATAAGTCAATTAGGAAAAGCAGATACTTTTAAAAACAGTAAAATTCTGACTAATATTAGATGAAATCAACCTGAACCTGGTAAATCAGTTTTTCAGAAACTTAAGCACTTATTTTCCTTTCATTTTATATCCAATAACTGCATCAAACCTAATATCAATCTTTCGTCTTAAAATTGCCTCGAAACGCTCAGGAAGCATCCTAAAAGAAAGATACATAAAAATAATTAGGAAATTAATATTAAGTACATTTGTAAAATATCTTTAAGAATACTTATATTAAAAAAAAACAGAATACTTATATTTATCATATATCACGCCCATGTTAAATAAGATGAAGAACGTTAACTCTGGGTCACTATTATGTGTTCTTTCCAAAGAAATACAATTCCTCTTGAAAAGGAAAAGAGAAGAGGTTTAGGCCTCTTTAGGGTAAGAGTGACTTGAAAGATTTAGCCTTCAAAATAAATATACTGGAATATTTTTAAAAATATCTAAAAGACAAGGTATATAGAACTGAATAGTTCAGATGCTAAAGGCTCTTAAAAAAAGAAACCTGACATTGGAAAGGAAGTAAGAATAGGAACTAACTTTATACTTTGTAATTCAGAAACTATTAAAATGTTCCACTGAGATATCAAAGAAGCAGAATTGCTAAAAGAAAATGCAGACAATGTACTTAGTTTTGAACATAGTACTGAACAAGTTATTTAACCAAAAAGCTTAAATTCCTTCTATATAAACAAAAGAATTAGCACCTATGCCACAGTGTTCTTGTAAAGAATTGATGTGTTAACATAAAATGCTGGCTCATGTTGGTGTATAACAGAAACCAACACAGTACTGTCAAGCAATTATCCACCAATTAAAAATAAACAAATTAAAAAAATATATAACAATTTTAAACAGTGATGGACACATGGTAGGTTTAATTTTTTTTCTCCCTACCCTACATTTAAGACTGTAGGATAGGAACTTGTCATATTCCAATGAGTCTGAGAGAAACTAAACAGAATATGTAAGTCAGTGCAACTATATACAGACACCTGCTTAGATGGAATTAAAATAAGGTTTGAAAATTGAGCACCAAACATTCACAGTCAGAAGAAAATCAGGGCAATATTAATAGCTGTGATAATTACAATGATAGTAGCATCAATATACAAATATGTATTTTTATCATATACTAGATATTGTAAATGCATTATTCTGTATTCCTCACAGCCCTGCAAAGTCTTGTTGTCTCCATATGACAGATGAAGAAACGGAGCTTCAAAAAAGTTAGATAACTCATCCATGTTCATGCAGTGAGCAAGTTATAAACACAAAGCTTCATCTAACTCTAGAACACAAACTGTGAATCTCTATGCTAAAGGTCTAGGTAATCTTTATTTATTTAATCAATAAACAGACGTTTTGGTGCCTCCTATGTGACAACCTGTCTTGTTAATTCTGGTGGCTCAGTGGTCAAGAATACATCTGCCAATGCAGGAGACACCGGAGACTTGAGATCGATCTCTGGGCTGGGAAGACCCTCGGAGGAAATGGCAACCCACTCCAGTATTCTTGCCTGGGAAATTCCATGGACAGAGGAGCCTGGAGGGCTACAGTCCATGGTCTTAAAAGAGTCAGACACGACTTAGTGGTTAAACAACAGCAAACGTGTCCATTAACTCTTCAAAGCGTGAGGATACAGTGATTAAAACCAGGCAAAATTCCTTCTCTCAGAGTTACATTTTAAAGGACTGATCACTGAGAGCTTACATAATACAAGTGTAATGAGAGACATTTCACAGGTTTTAACTCATTTATTTATCAAGAAGACCCTTGAGCTTTACTACCTAAACTTTAAGGTAGCTTCAACCATAGTTCCCAGCAGAAGGGGCTAAAAAACCTGACACAAGCCACTTGTGCTTTTGATCTCGTGGATTTTTTTTTTTTTGACTCTATGTCAGTAACTCTCAGTGTATGATCTTTGAACCAAATGCCTGCAACAACTGCCTGTTGAAATAAGAGATTTCTGGATCCCAACTCAAACATCTTATATTAAAATCTCTAGAGGTAAGATCCAGGTATCTATTTTTGAAACTAACTTCCCAAGTGATCTATGTCACGGAAGCCTGACTCTAGGGACAAGCAGCAAGGGAGTTCTTTTCCCCCTCTGACCTAAGTCATGTCTTCACTTCGCCCTTAACCAGCCTCATCACACACAGCCTTCCCAGAAAAGTAACAGGGCAGTGTGTTACAAGACATTCTTTAAACCAGCGGTTTCCAATCTTGGCTGTACATTGGCTGTACAATTGTACACTGTACATTGTACAGTCTCTGGAAGGTTGTATCTCTCAGAGACTAGGCCACACTACAGACCATTTAGATCAAAATCTTGGGAGCAGGTGTCGGGTGTTGGCATTTTTTAAAACTCCCAGGTGAATTCCAATGGCACCAAAGTTGAAAGCTACTGCTCCAAAGAAATCCTTCTCATATTTGAATATGCATACAGATCACCTGTGGGTCTTACTAAAATGCAAATTCTGATTCAGGGAATCAAGAGATTCTGTGTTGCACACAAACTTCCAGGTGATGCTGAGGCTACTGGTCCATGGGCCAAATCTGAGGTAGCAAGTCTCAAGGGTCTCTAAAATTATAAAAGATAATTCAGCAATTCCTTCAGTATAAAAGATTATTTAGCAATATGCTTCAGTATAATTTTGCACAAAGTAAGAGCTCAGTGATTATCTGTGGTATATTTAAAATAAATGTCTAAAACTTGACTATGATCTCCTCCAATATCAATGTCACATAATTCCATTATGTAATAATGCTTAAAAATTACTCTCCTTCATATGCATTCATTTATGATAGGACTTCCAAAAACATACAAACTTCTTTCCTTAAAAAAACATTTTAAAAAAACTTACAGAAATTAGTTACCTAATTGCTATTTCAATCTTGAAAGTGAAAGTCGCTCAGTCACGTCCAACTCTTTGTGACCCCATGAATATGCAGTCTGTGGAATTCTCCAGGCCAGAATACTGGAGTGGGTAGCCTTTCCCTTCTCCAGGGTATCTTCCCAACCCAGGGATCGAACCCAGGTCTCCCGCATTACAAGTGGATTCTTTACCATCTGAGCCACAAGGGAAGCCTAAGAATGCTGGAGTGGGCAGCCTATCCCTTCTCCAGCGGATCTTCCTGACCCAGGAATTGAACCAGGGTCTCCTGCATTGCAGGTGGATTCTTTACCAACTGAGCTAGGAGGGAAGCCCATACCAATCTTGCTTGAATGATTAACAAATGTGGTTTTAAAAATGGATGGCTTCCTTAAGCCTATTGTCTTTATTAACTTAATTCCATGTAATTGTGCTTTATCAAATGCCTGGCTTTAAATCTGAGTAAAAACATGTAATAGAAAAATTTATCACGGGGACAAATATCACTGTCACTTACTTTTCCATCAGTGATAAAAGGCTGAGAGAAGATGGAACAAATACCATTTTCTGCTCAGTCAGGATCCCATCTATCAGCTTGTTTACCACTTCCTCAGGTTCCAGGGTAGGTCCCAAGCTGAAACAGAAGTAGTCTTCAGAACCAAAACATTTCCCTGAGGCTTCAGCTTTGGTTTGGTGTTAAACGAGTATGTTAAGTTACGATACAAACAATTACATAACCGGCTTATAGTTAGCATCCAGGCCAACACAGGTGCTCAAAAATGCTATTTTGGCAATAATAACAACAAAAACAAAACCACTTGTTTAGTGCTTATAGGGAACAGCAATTAGCCAAGATGGCAATGGCCAGTCTCTCTTGCTCCCCGCCCACCCCCATCCCCGTCCTCTTGCTCACGCCCCACATCCTGTAAACAACGACTCTGCGTGGCTATGGAACAGCTGAGATTATTTATAGCAATGCACACACACATCATGATGTACTCACTTGGTCACATGCCACCATTGTTCCGTATATCTCTATAAGCACCATCTGAACAGCCCTTGCGGCTGCATCAGCCATTAGCGAATAAGCATGCCTGTCTTGCTGCTGCGTCAGCCGTTAGTGAATAAAGCATGTCTGCATTTCCTAAGGTTCCTCGCATCTTCTTCCAACTTCCTAGCTCACACCTTGCCTACCCTGGCTTCAGTGAAGAGGGATACAGTGGTTATGAGGTTCTGCATAGTATGTTAAAGATTCTACACAGATCATCTCACTAAAGTTTTCCAACATCTCTACAAAGGGGAGATACTAGAGTCCTTATTCTGCAAATAAGAACTATAGGAATAACTAGGACTCAAATTAATTTAACTAGATTAGGACTGACAAATTTCATTTTTAAATTTCTAGAAGTCTTAGGAAAAAAGTCAGATTCCATAATATGTTTCATTATTCTATTAAGACAGTTTAGTGAACCATATCTGAAGAATTAGAAAAATTAAAATATAGGACTATGCCCAGCTCTAAGTCCTTGATCTCCATATGGAATCTTTATATTTACTAAGTCTTGTTTTAAGTTTCAGCTTTGTTACTTCGTTCATGTTACATCTTTACTGTGTAATCATCCTGGCATATGTACTACCAAGTAGCATGCAGTCCCTAAAAAGTGACCTTTGTTATCTGGATGTTAAAATAGGTGCACTTAGGCTGGAGTTGCACCAGAGTTGGCCATGAGTTTTTAACATCTTATTAACGACTTAGAAAAAAAAATACATAATCAAATTTACTCACTAAATTGGCTAATGTCATCAAACTGGATGACTAACATTTGGGGGGACAGATTTTAAATGTGTGTGACTAGTTAGTGGGACAAAATTAAACAAATTGAATGAGATTCTTTAGGAACAAATACAGAATAGTTCATTCAGAAAGAAGAATATGCACTAAAGTAAGACTGGGAAACTGGAAAGTGTAGCATGTACTTAAAAGTGAACATGAGGGGACTTCCCTGATGGTCCAGTGGTTAAGAATCCACCTTCTGATGCAGGGGACGTGAGTTCGATCCCTGGTAGGGGTGTTAAGATCTCAAATGCCTCTGAGTAACCCAGCCAGCACACCACAATCAGACTGCCGAACTTTAGGGCCAGTGCTCTGCAACAAGAGAAGCCCTCACACAGCGACAAAGACCCAGCACAGCCAAAAAAAAAAGTGAGCATGGTAACTGGATACATGGAGGAAAACAGAATTTAAATCACACGTGATATAATTTCTCATTCTCAGCATTGTGTTGTCGTGTCCAGACTCTTGTAACCCCACGGACTGTAGCCTGCCGGGCTCCTCTATACCTGTGATTTCCCAGGCAAGAATACTGGAGTGGGTTGCCATTTCCTTCTCCAGGGGACCTTCCCAACCCAGGAGTGGAACTCACGTCTCCTGCACTGGCAGATGGATTCTTTACCACTGAGCCACCAGGAAGTTCATTCTCAGAATAGGACATTTATTAGAATCCTGGGTTTACCCCAGGACCCTGGTGCAACAATATCACATATGAAATGCAGAGGAAATGTAATAATGAAAGTGATGGATTTTGGCCTAATAGAGGCACCAATGAAAAGCAAAGAGAACTTAAAGAAGACCAAGCAGTCCTTTAGCCTGTGGGATTAGCAGATAAATGGTGCCAAGCAGGGTGATTCTAGAAACTGAAGGATGTTTATGCTTTGAAAAGTGTTCAGAGGGAAATTCAAGCTTATCACTACCAGGATTCCATATTCCCAAGCTCCATCAAATTCCACAAACACCTATGTAAACAGTACAGCACATGTCTTCATTCACACTGTGGCCTTGCTAACCTACCAATCAAATGATGTTGGACTGACTGAGCCTCTCTTAGTTACTTGATCTCTTTACCTAAGGTCTTAGCCTCTGCCAGAAGAATTTTCATTGAATTTAAAGACTGTCTAATAGCATGATATTAAAAGACTGTAAGAAAAGCCTTCCAGAAAAAATTCAGTTTCTTGGCAAAATAAAACCTAAATCATTAAAATGTCAGCATATGGAAACACCTTTTCCTCAATAGTCTAATGTTAACAAGAGTTGCAAATCCTATTAAATAAATATAGATAATGGATTTTGTTGAAACTATTCAAAAACACTTCAGGCCTATCTGCTGGGGTGGAGAAGAAGAATGCATGTGGGATCTTAAGAATACTTAGGGAGAAAGTATTTTCAGGTAGAAGAATTACCTGAGTGGTTATCTAATTTCACCACTTAGGTAGCTGAATCATTTGGGGGATGACATCTCTACTCTCCAAAATTTTTTGGTTTTGTACTTAATTGGAAAAAAGGAGATAATGCAGTGGTACCAACTGACTCTCCAAGGGACAGATTATCAGTTTTGTAGCATTTTCATATTCTATGATATGAATACTCCCAACATAGCCAATTTCAAATTACCAGCATGGTGTCACCAAAGGAATATAAGTTGTCTTCAGCACTCCACGGGTAATATGATGGTTAAATGGAAAATGTACATATAAATACTTATAGAGTTATACCATACAAATGTTACTTGTCACCTTCTTATATAACAACTTTTTTATGGTACTGCTGCTGCTGCATCGCTTCAGTCGTGTCCGACTCGGCGTGACCCCATAGACGGCAGCCTGCTAGGCTCCTCTGTCCCTGGGATTCTCCAGGCAAGAATACTGGAGTGGTTGCCATTTCCTTCTCAATGCAGGAAAGTGAAAAGTGAAACTGAAGTGGCTCAGTTGTGTCCGACTCTTTGCAACCCCATAGACTGTAGCCTACCAGGCTCCTCCACCCATGGGAGTTTCCAGGCAAGAGTACTGGAGTGGGTTGCCATTTCCTTCTCCTTTTATGGTACTAGCCAGTGAAAAACTAATTATTTTTCTGTGTGTGCTAAGTCGCTTTAGTCGTGTCTGACTCTTTCCAACCCTATGGACCGTAGCCTGCTAGGTTCCTCTGGCCATGGGGTTCTCCAGGCAAGAATACTGGAATGGGTTGCCATTCCCTCCTGCAGGGGATCTTCCTAACCTAGGGATTGAACCTGAGTCTCTTATGTCTCCTGCATTGGCAGGCGGGTTCTTTACCACTAGTGCCACCTGGGAAGCCCAATCTTTCTGTGGAACCCACAAAAGCTAAATTTTTAGAGGAAACAAATTTTGTTATGTATATTACACATAGGAGAGTAGAAATTTCAAAACAATGTCTAAACATTTTAAAACATTTTAAAATTCTTGACAAATAAATCCAGATTATGTGGCATTTTTTATATCACTAATGGAAAAGAAAAAGATATTTAAGGCAAATGCATTTAATTTAAAAGTGTTCATATACCTAATAATAGTGCCCCAAAATATATGAAGCAAAAGTGACATAATTGAAGAGAGATATGGACAGTTTAAAGATAAGAGCTGGAGACATTAATCTGACTTTCAACAATGGTTTGAACAACTGGACAGAAGATCAGCAAGTTGGGACTCCGTGCTTCCACTGCCAGAGGCCTGGGTTCGATCCCTGGTCAAGGAACTATGATCTTACAAGCCATGGAGTGCAGCCAAAAATTAAAAAAAAAATCTCAAATCAATAACCTAACTTCCCAACTGAAGAATCCAGAAAAAAGAACTGATTCTAAAGAAGGCAAAATAAAGGAAATAATAAAAATTAAAGCAGACATAATGAGAGAACAGATAACAAAAGAGTCAATAAAACCGAAAGCTGGCTCTTTGGAAAAGATCAACAAGACTGACAAAACTTTTGCTGACCAAGAAAAAAAGAGATTAGACAAACCACTGAAATCAAGAATAAAACTGAGTTCATTACTGAGTTCACTACTACTAATCTTACAGAAATAAAAGGGACTATGTCCCTATGGACCGTAGCCTGCTAGGTTCCTCTGGCCATGGGGTTCTCCAGGCAAGAATACTGGAATGGGTTGCCATTCCCTCCCGAAGGGGATCTTCCTAACCTAGGGATTGAACCTGAGTCTCTTATGTCTCCTGCATTGGCAGGCGGGTTCTTTACCACTAGTGCCACATGGGAAGTCCAATCTTTCTGTGGAACCCACAAAAGCTAAATTTTTAGAGGAAACAAATTTTGTCACGTATATTACACATAGGAGAGTAGACATTTCAAAACAATGTCTAAACATTTTAAAACATTTTAAAATTCTTGACAAATAAATCCAGATTATGTGGCATTTTTTATATCACTAATGGAAAAGAAAAAGATATTTAAGGCAAATGCATTTAATTTAAAAGTGTTCATATACCTAATAATAGTGCCCCAAAATATATGAAGCAAAAGTGACATAACTGAAGAGAGATATGGACAGTTTAAAGATAAGAGCTGGAGACATTAATCCGACTTTCAACAATGGTTTGAACAACTGGACAGAAGATCAGCAAGTTGGGACTCTGTGCTTTCACTGCCAGAGGCCTGGGTTTGATCCCTGATCAAGGAACTATGATCTTACAAGCCATGGGGTGCAGCAAAAAATTAAAAAAAAAAAAAAATCTCAAATCAATAACCTAACTTCCCAACTGAAGAATCCAGAAAAAAGAACTGACTCTAAAGAAGGCAAAATAAAGGAAATAATAAAAATTAAAGCAGACATAATG